AAAATGTACTTTGGGAGACGTCGTGAGGATATCACTAATTGATACACAACATGGGCATTTGTCCCCAGTGGCTTTCTCTCTCATAAGTTTTTGTGAATAAGTTTCATTTTGCAATGGAGTACCCTAGAAAGCAAATAAAACAGAGTAAATTCTAAATGTAGTGTGTTTGATGTTCTTAATTTGGAAAATACTTAAAATATGTGCACTGTTAAAGTCATTAATATATGTGTGTTTATGTGTGTGTATATATGTAAAACAAATGTCATATACATTTACATACGTTTATATATACATTTTCTATCAATAGATACATGGGCACTGTTACAGTAAATTAGCATGTTGTCTATATGTGTGTATATATGCATGTGGATATATACTAATAAAACAAATGTCACATACATTTATATACAATTATATATACATTTTATATCAATATGTACTTGTGTGCTGTTATAATAATTAACTTGCGTGTACATATTTAAATAAAACAAATGTCATATACATTTATATATACATTTTTTACATCAGTATTATACATTTTAATAAACATTTAACATATACAGTTGACCCTTGAGCTTACAGATGCCTCCCTAACTTAGAAGTTTTAAAAGATTAGATTTACATTAGTTATTTTCTTTACATAAAATGATTATTGTTAAAGTTGAGGTTTGTTTAGCTGCAAAGGTATTGGTGGTTTGTTGCGTTCAACAAACTTCACTTGGTAAAATTCAACTTTACCAATAACCATCTTATTTAATGAAAGGTACTAACACAAATGAATATATAATGTATATGTAAGTGGATATGACATTTATTTTATAGACATACACAGGCACACACACACACACACACACACACACACACACACATACTAATTACTGTAACAGTGAACATCTTTTAAATATTTTCCGAATTAAGAACATCAAGCAAACTACCTTTAAAATTCATTGCATTATTTTTGGCTCCTAGGGCACTCCACTGCAAATTGGAATTTGTTCACATAAATTGAGTAAACATCCTATGACAGAGGAAGGCCTTGGGGACAAATGTCCATGTTGTATATCAATTAATGATATAAAAATAATCTAGTGTATCTCTTTTTCAGATGGCAGTTCTATAAAATGTGTCTGTGTAGCCAGTGGTTTAGAAACTGTCTAAACAGAAATACCTGGATGCCCATATTATAATCATTCAGTCAGAATATTGTGTCTATTTTTTGTGGCTTGAAATGTTGAAACATAGAGAAGAAAAGTAAATAACAAAAATTAAGAGTGTAACATATATATATATATATATATATATATATATATATATAAAGAGATAATTTAAAATAAATGTGTATGTGTGTGTATGCATATACAGTTGACTGTTGAACAACATGGGTTTGAACTGTGTGAGTCACTTATATGTGAATTTCCTTCCATCTCTACCACCATTGAGAAAGCAAGACCAACCCTCCCCTTCCACCTCTTCAGCCTACTCAACATGAAGATGATGGGGATGAAGGCCTTTAAGATGATCCACTTCCACATTGTGAATAATAAGTATATTTTCTCTTCCTTAGGATTTTCTTAATGACATTTTCTTTTTTTTCTTTATTATACTTTAGGTTCTGGGGTACATGTGCAGATCATGCAGGATTGTTGCATAGATACATACATGGCACTGTGATTTGCTGCCTCCATCCCCCCTGTCACTTACATCTGTCATTTCTCCCCATGTTATCCCTCCCTGACCTCCCCACACCCCCACTGTCCCTCCCTTAGCACCCCCAGTGTGTGATGCTCCCCTCCCTGTGTCCATGTGTTCTCACTGTTCAACACCTGCTTATGAGTGAGAACATGCAGTGTTTGATTTTCTGTTCTTGTGTCAGTTTGCTGAGAACGATGGTTTCCAGATTCATCCATGTCCCTACAAAGGACACAAACTCATCTTTTTTTATGGCTGCATAGTATTCCATGGTGTATATGTGCCACATTTTCCTTGTCCAGTCTATTGTCAATGGGCATTTGGGTTGGTTCCAGGTCTTTGCTATTGTAAACAGCGCTGCTATGAACATACGTGTGCATGTGTCTTTATAATAGAATGATTTATAATCCTTTGGGTACATACCCAGTAATGGGATTGCTGGGTCTACTGGCATGTCTATTTCTAGGTCCTTGAGGAATCACCACACTGTCTTCCACAATGGTTGAACTAATTTACACTCCCACGAACAGTGTAAGTGTTCCTATTTCTCCACATCCTCTCCAGCATCTGTTGTTTCCAGATTTTTTTAATGATCGCCACCATTCTAACTGGCATGAGGCGGTATCTCAATGTGGTTTTGATTTGCATTTCTCTAATAATAAGTGATGATAAGCATTTTTTCATGTTTATTGGCCTCATATATGTCTTCTTGGGTTTGTTTGTTTTTTTCTTGTAAATCTGTTTTAGTTTTTTGTGGACTCTGGATATTAGCCCTTTGTCAGATAGGTAGATTGCAAAAATTTTTCCCATTCTGTTCGTTCTTGGTTCACTCTAATGATTGTTTCTTTTGCTGTACAGAAGCTCTGGAGTTTAATTAGGTCCTATTTGTCTATTTTGGCTTTTGTTGCCATTGCTTTTGGTGTTTTAGTCATGAAGTCCTTGCCTATGCCTGTGTCCTGAATAGTTTTACCTAGGTTTTCTTCTAGGGTCTTTTCTATAGCTTATTTTATTGTAAGAATACAGTATATAATACATATAATGTACAAAATGTGTGTTAATTGACTGGCTTCCAGTCAACTGTAGGCTATTAATAGTTAAGTTTTGGGGGAGTTAAAGTTTTATATGGATATTCAACTACATGTGGGAGTGGGATGGTGAGTTGGTCCTTACCTCTGTGTTGTTCAAGGGTCAACTGTGTATGTTAAATGTTTATATAAATGTATGTATTGATATAACAATGTATATATAAATGTTCTCAAACAAATAAAATATGCATAGATTCAAGTTATACATATATATATATATATATACCATATGCACATGTATATACATATTAATACAAGTTCATGTACAAATGCTCCTTAACTTATGATGGGGTTATATCCCAATAAATCCATAGCAAGTTGAAAATATCATAATTTGAAAATGTATTGAATACACCTAACCTACCAAACATCATAGCTTAGCCCAGCCTCCCTTAAACGTGCTCAGAGCACTTACATAGCCTATCATGGAGCAAACTTCTCTGGCAACACAGAACATGGTAGAGTGTTGACTGTGAACCCTTGTGATTGCCTGGCTGAGTGGGAGCTGGCTCCTTGCTGCTGTCCATCCTGGCAATAGAGGAAAACAGCACTTTCTACTGCATGCGTATTGTTCTCACACCACCATAAAGTCCAGAAATTGTAAATGGAACTGTCCTAAGTCAAAGACCATCTGTATATCAGTTTATATGTATACAAGTCTTTATGTGAATGTGTAAATGTATGTTTACATATATACAAGTGTATATATGTAATTATTTGGTGTACATGTATACAAGTTTATATATAAATAATGTAATTGTATGTGATTGATAGGGTTTGGCTCTATGTCCCCACACAAATCTCATCTGGAATTGTAATCCTCATATGTCCAGGGAGGGGCCTGGTAGGAGGTGATTGGATCATAGGGGCAGGTTTCCCCCTTGCTGTTCTCGTGATAGTGAGGGAGTTCTCATGAGATCAGTTTAAAAGTGTGGCACTTCCTTGCTCTCTCTCCCTCCTGAGAAGGAGAGGCCTTGCTTTCCCTTCAACTTCCACCACGATTTTAAGTTTCTTGAGGCCTCCCCAGCCATGCGGAACTTTGAGTCATTAAACCTCTTTCCTTTATAAAATACCCAGTCTCAGTTATTTCTTTATAGCAGTGTGAAAATAGACTAATGCAGTGATATATAAGTATACTGCAAATGTTACTATGTACATATATACAATAATTTCACTAAACAAAACCAGGTACATATATGAAGATGTAATATATTTTGTTGCATTTTATTTATTTATTTGAGACAGGATCTTGTTCTGTGGTTCAGGCTGTATTGCAGTGGTGTGATCTGGGCTCACTGCAGCCTTGACTTCTGGGGCTCTAGCAATCCTCGCACCTGAGCCTCTGCCTTGAGGAGCTGGGACCACAAGCTTCCATGTCTGAATAATTTTTGTATTTTTGGTAGTGATGGGGTTTTGTCATGTTTCACAGGTTGGTCTCAAATTCCTGAGTTCCAGCAATCTGCCCACCTTGGCGTACCAAAGTGTTGAGGTTTACAGGCATGAGTTGCTGTGCCCAGCCTAAAGATGTAATTTAAATATGGAGGTGGATATTCATTTATATATTATATAAAACTATATATAGGTATATGTAAACATACATATTTGACCTTTATACATATATCAACTTATATATAAACTTATACATAAATTATTATATATGTATACAACTTTAATATATATAGTGTGTGATTTTACATTTTTTTCTAATATTTCTCCACTTTATTAAGGTTGACCACCATGATATTTATGTATCTAAACTTTTTTTAAATAAGCTTTCAGTGATGTTTAGATTCTGAATTATTTTTCCATAATTAAGTTAATTTAGGCACACTGGTTTGTATTTTATAGAGAACACTTATCTTTAGGACACAGATAGGAACAAGCATAATTTGCAAATATTACAAAGATGATTTCCAAATCTCAGTTGACCTCTTTTCTAATTGCAAAGTCATTTAGTCTTTAGTGACAATAGAGACTAAAAACAACCTCCTACACATCGCTGTGTGAGATTCTGATGGATCTGAAGTCCCTGAAAGAGTAGTAAACTGTGATTATTGAAAAAGTCAGAACACTGGCAAGGCTAAAGAGCAAAGCATTTAACAGAAGGCCACAAGAATTGTTTTCCTAAGAGGAGCTAAAAAATAACTGTCATTTAGTAATGCATTGAATTGGTCTTGCCTAGTGTGAGTGTTGCACAGAAACTTCTGATCATTTCTTCTGGATCTATTATTTTGGATACATTTCCACTATCATAGCATGGCCCCATCCTCCAGCTGCTCAGGCAGCCACTAATCCATACTGGCCTCCTTCCTTCCTTACGTTGGCAGCTGCCATGACCAACCTGTAGCCAATGGCTCCAAACGGGTGTCCCAGGGACAGAGATCCACCCCAGTTATGAAACTTCTCCAAAGGAGGCAATCCAACCTTGGTTTTTCTACCTATGTAGTTTTGTGCAAACCAATCAGAATCCAAGGATTTAAAATTTGCCAAAATCTGGCCGGAGAAAGCGTCATGAAATTCAAAAGCATCAATATCATTCATAGTTAATCTTGCCTTTTCTAGAACTTTCGGAGTAGCATACATTGGTCCAAGTAATAGTTGATCTTTTGGATCCTGAGACACAAACATAAAATCCCTCAAATATGCCTTTGGCTTATCACACACGGCCAGAGCCTTTTCCTCTGCCATAATCAACATTGCAGAGGTGCCATCAGTCAAGAAAGAAGAATTTGCAGCTGCCACTGTGCTGCAGGGCTTGCTGAATGCAGGTGTTAGTTTGGCCACCTGTTCCAGTGAGGAAGGACAGATGCCATTATCTTTGGTAACCGTATCTTTTCCTGGTACTTTTAAGGGTACGACATCAGAAAGGAGTCCTTCATCCTGTGCCTTCTTGGCCAGACTGTGAGAGTGTGTATTCATCCTGTTTCAGCTGAGAAACAGCAAAGGCAGTGGCCACTCGGTCCGCAGAGTGGTCCATGGTGTCACTGGTAGAGAACTCAGTAACTGCAGGGAGCTCAGGTGCTAGGAAATTCAATCGGAATTTAGAGATTGAAGATAGTCGCTGGCCCACAGATTTGGCCTTGTTGAGATCAAGCAGCAGTTATCTCATTTTCCTTGAGCGACGAATAGAGACATCAGACATCAACTTGTCACCACTTGCCATGATCACATCACACTGGCCCGAAGCAATAAATCCAACACCTGTGGTCATGGCTTGGTTGGCAGAGATATAAGCCATGGTGACAGTGCAAGCAGGAGTCTTGTCAGAGAAGCCAGCTCCAAGGGCAGCCTTTCTAGCCACATGGCTAGTTTTCACTTCCTGAATAACTGTGCCAAAGATGATAGAATCAACTACTTCTTTAGGGACACTGGTCCAATGCATCAAACCCATAAGTGCTGCTTTAGCCAAATCATGTGGCATCAGGTCTTTATATGAAGCAAAAATGGAGTTCGAACACCATACACCACCACATTACTTGTATTTGGTTTGGCTAACGTCTTCATTTTGGTCTGGACGGCTAGGGCAGCTCACAGCTGGGAGGAACAGCTCATAGGTCTTATGGAAAATCTCAGGGCCCATTTTGATGTAGTGGGAAGATTTTTAAAAGTGTAAGTCAAGATAGTAGTCATTCTGGAATCTTAGCTGACATCCATGCAGAATCCTACTCTGAACAAGGTTCAGACCTCATGTTTTTACATTTTAAGTTTACATTTCAACATTGGCCTAGTCAATTTGTTAGCAGTACTTATGTATATCTGTTTTATTGAACTTACTAAGGTTAAAGCATCTTCGCACTGAAAAAAATAATGCCCAAAACTTCCAAAAAAGAAATATATGGACAGCTTCCTCTATTCATCACACAGTATATTAAAAGTTGATTTATGAGCACTTTGGAAATTTCAGTGCCTGATTGAAATGGCCCTGGAAGAGTTGGACTTGTTGCTCTGCTGCAGATTTTTTCTTTATTTCTGTAACAATCCTTCATTAATCCCTCTCCCCAATGATCATCTCAGCTTATTGTTCAGGAAGTTGCCCTGACGAGCCTCTCTTGCACAAGATGGATACTGCTTAGCTAAAACCCATGAGGTAACACCAAAGATATAGAAAAATTTTGGCTAAATCAGACTTGGTCTGGGCACCAGAAACCTTTAGGAAAGAAGTAGCTGACAAATACAGTCAAAAAAAATGTTGGGGCCGGGCGCGGTGGCTCACGCCTGTAATCCCAGCACTTTGGGAGGTCGAGGCGGATGGATCACGAGGTCAAGAAATCGAGACCATCCTGGTCAACATGGTGAAACCCCGTCTCTACTAAAAATACAAAAAATTAGCTGGGCATGGTGGCGCGTGCCTGTAATCCCAGCTACTCAGGAGGCTGAGGCAGAATTGCCTGAACCCGGGAGGCGGAGGTTGCGGTGAGCCAAGATCGCGCCATTGCACTCCAGCCTGGGTAACAAGAGCGAAACTCCATCTCAAAAAAAAATGTTGGGTAAGCCTGTTGGGAAATCAAAACATCATTTCTTCATTGACCCTTTCACCAGATCTGAATTCCTAAAGAAAAAAAAAACAAACAGTTGATGCTTCCAGTGGTGAGTTTTACACACCCATATGTTTTACTCTTCCCCTTAGCAAAAGCAAAACTCTACACTAGGCATAGAGATTTATTACCCTGAATCTCGATCTCTACATTGATGTTGATGATTGGTGAGAGCGTGGTGATGGAAACCAGCTCATTTCCTGTACCACTGAGGCCTGCTCAGCTTTGCTCAAGAGGGCTCTTGACTCTTACTTTGTAGCAGGAGCTCCTAAGTGAATCAAGGAGAGATCGAGATTCAGGGTAATAAATCAAATACACTGCAGTATTTCTGTAGAACTAAAATGACAGAAGCAAAAAGTGTCTAGATTCTGAAGCTGGAGGGCATCAAACATTCATGCCACTGGCCAAGCTATGGGTGACTTTCTCAAGTCTTTTTTGAAAAAAGAAACAATTCTCAGAAAGTTATAATCCCACAGCTACTAGAAACAGAAATTCTATATCACTAGACTTCTGGTATTTTTCCTATATTTTGCCCAAAGAGCAGCATGAAGACAGAATAAATGTTCCACATTGGAACTACCTGAGTCAATCCCTTCATCTGTAACTCCCAAACACTGAAAAATATTGCCATAAATATGATACCTACAATTACTGTCCAGCATCATGCAAATGCCCACGTAGCCTGAAACTCAGAAATGTTCTTAAAAAATCGTAAGGTTTTAGGAGAGTTTCCCCTCATGTTGTTGGAATTACTAAGAAGTCTTACAGTGGACTTCTTACTTTAGCACATCCATGGACTAACTATGGTCCATGGGCCAAATCCCTCTCGCCACTTGTTTTATAAATAAAGTTTTATTGGAAAACAGCTGTACCCATTCATTTATGTATTGTGTGTGCCTGCTTTTTTGCTACAATGGCAGAACTGAGTTATTGCAACACAGTTCATATAACTCACAGGGCTGAAAATATTTACTATTTGACTCTTTCCAGAAAAAGTTGGCCGATTTCATAGCACTGTTAACAGTACTAAAATATAAAGCTGTTTTTCCCCTTTTCTTTTACTCTTTCTCAACTTGTCATGTCTTTAAAAATAAATTTATTTTTGATGTCATTCTAAGTAAGGAAAAATGAAAATATTTAGTCACTGGCATGGTTTTCCATTTTTATCTTTATATTGTGCAATGCCAATTTTGAACTCCAATATCTGAGCAATTAACATGTATTGAGAATCACTGAAATTACACAAGCTGTTATTTGGTAGCATATGCATAAGTATCTACTGCATTCTTACCAGAACAGAGGAAGCGTGCTGCACAAATGAACTCAGCTGACTTTATTTCACTTCTTGATCTGGACATATTCTAGCAACACTGTACCTTCAGCTCACCGATGAGTAAGGAAGGCACACAATGAATAGGGACCACGGGTTATCCTCTCATCCGCAGCCCTTCTATGGCATCATTTTCAGCATAAGTGGTTGCCTGAGGCGGCAAGAAGAATAGGAGACAAAATAGAGTTTTCGTTTGTTCCTGGCTTTTTAAGAATGTCATTGCCACTTTTCTATATTTGAAGCAAGTTCTAACTTGGTCACAAAGCATGGCCTCTCCGGGCTGCAAGAGCACACACTTTGTCATAGAAGTAACAGCCTCCCTTTGTGCACACTGTGAATCTCACCAAATTCCCCTTTGCCAGTCCAGCAGAATTCTGTGCTCAAGGGGCTTCATGTGGGTTGTACGCTATTGGGTAGCAAAGAACAGTGGCAGAAGTGCATATGGTACATATCTCCTCTGACCACGTGCATGCATGCCTCTTGTTCCATTGCGCTCCACGAACAAAACTAAAGTGCAAATATTAATTATTTCAAGGCAGCAGTAGCAGGCCTCTAAACCTAGCAGGAAGTGCATCTGACCCCAAGACCCTGTGCAATTGATTGGGACCATACACCTGTGAAGGAGGCCCTGAGGTACAGAATGGAAAAGTAAATGCTACTGAATTTCTGTTTTCAACCAACATTTTCTTTCCTCATCAAAGGAGACAACTATATTGAATTTCATGCTAAGTTTTCTAGCAGTACTCTATTGTTAGAGAATCTATTCTTAAGTTTTGCTTGATTTTGAATATTATGTTAAAGAACCATACTCTTTGTAGTCCCTTTTTTGGGTTCTCTCCTTGAACATGGTAGAGATTCAACCAGGTTGATTCATATTCATAAAGTCTAGGGATCTTCATTGCTGTATAGTATTTCTGTGTAATTGATTTAACACAAATGATTATCCATTCTCTTTATGATAAGCAAGTGTGTGTTCTGAGTTTTTTTTCAGGATACTAAGCTCCTTTGAATTTCAGTTTTCTTTGAGTTCTATGCAGGAAAGTTTGTTATATTTTCTTGATTTTTTTTGCAATCTATTGATAAGTGAATCTAGCTAGATGATTGTTTAGACATTAATAGAGGTGAATCATATTTTAAAAAATTCAAGCACTAAGAAAAATATTGTACATTTCTGAAAGGAACTTCAATTGGTCATGATAAATATTATATTTTCTAGCTCCTTCAAAAGAAGTTGTTAGAAACATGCCTATAGATATTTCATGGTCTAAGGAGTTCCTGAGTATCTATGATATATTCATTCAAGTAGAATTCTTCATTTTATGGTTCATTTTAGAATAGACATTGTAAAGTGACAGCAAACTATTCTGAAAGCACAGTGACAATTTATAATCTAAGCAGATATGAGAGAAGTTTCACATCTATCCACGCCTCAACATGCTCAACATGGCTCAGTGTTTTGGCCAACTATATGGGTAAGAAATGATGCCTCATTGTTAATGAAATTTAGGGTTTTTTATGACTGAACTTTAAAGATTTAAGATTTTTATAAGATCTAAATGATAACTTTTTTCTAAACCACCTGTTAAAAATATTCCCAATATTTATACTGTAATATATGTATGTGTGTTTGTGTGTATGTTATTGATCTATTTGCTGGTAAAATACATTGAAAATATATTCTTCAAATTTGATGCATCACCTATCAGTCTATTTCAACATTGGATGGACAGGATTTTTAACTTTAATGTAGCTAATTAAGTCAAACTTTTCATTTTTGGTTATAGTTTTTCAAATATATATATATATATATATATACATATATATATATATTTGAAAAGAAAAAAAATATACATATATATATATATATATATTTTTTTTTTTCTTTTCTAAGACAGAGTCTTACTCTGTGGCCCAGGCTGGAGTACAGTGGCCTGATCTCAGCTCACTGCAAGCTCCACTTCTTAGGTTCAAGTGATTCTCACACCTCAGCCTCCTGGGTACCTGGGATTACAGCTGTCCGCCACCAAACCTGGCTAATTTTTGCATTTTTAGTAGAATCGGGGTTTTGCCAAGTTGGCCAGGCTGGTCTCAAACTCCTGGCCTCAGGTGATCTGCCTGCCTCAGCCTCCCAAAGTGTTGGGATTGTAGGCGTGAGACATTGCGCCTGGCCCAGTTTTTGATATACCTAATCATCCAGTGTTATAAAGATGTTTTCAAACACTTTGAAATTTTTGATTTTTAATGCTCCTAAGTTTTAAAGTTCTAATATTTGGCTTTAAGCTCTAAGCAAACCTGTAATTATTTTTTAATTTAATTATTCAATTAAAGTGTATCATTTGTACAAGGATGCTTTACTGCAAGTGTTACTTTTCTTCATTCATGAGTGAATGAAAAAATTATGTTTTTATAAATATCTGTTTGGGTTCACTCTTTGTTTTTGTTGATACAAAAAAACCTATCCTAGCATCAATATTATGTTCTTCTAAGATTTAGAAATAAATATCACGGAACACATCTAGCACCTTCAGTATTATCATAAACATTTTCTTGGCATATCTCAGGCAATTGTCCCTCTATATAAATTTTTTAATTAGCTTATCAATTTCTACAAAACATTCTTGTGGCAATTTTATTTAAATTTCATTGAACTAATAAGTTAGCTAGGAGATAATTGACATGATTATTTATTGAGTCTAATTATATTTTGTCAAGTGAATTTGTTTGTTGCCTTTATAAATTATATGCTAATCTACAGTTTCTAAATTATTATTACTATTAATGGAAAGGAAATTGATTTTTTAAGTTGATATTGTA